ATGACACCCTTTTATTATCATTACATGTGATCATCTGTTTTCTTCTTCTATTTACTTGTTTACTGACCATCTTCCCCAGTAGATTGTAAGCTCCAAGAGGCCTGGCTCCTGCCTCTCTATTCACATAATGAGTGTCTGACACATGGTAAGTGCTAAATGAAAGAGAGAAATCAAGATAAACATATATTCATAAATAAAAGATAATGAAAGGTAAATGTATGTGTGAGAAGGTTTATTCTGTTTTGGGTTAATCTGTGGTTATCTCTCTTGCGCCCTCCACTGAAGACCTGGCCTGCAGTGTGGGCATATGACCTGACTGGGAATCGAACCAGCAACCTTCTGGTTCGCAGGCCAGCACTCAGTCCACTGAGCCACACCAGCCAGGGCTCAATAATCGATTTAGCAGGAATTTTACTATGTTATAGTCTCTTAAAAATAGCAAAATTCCCAAAAGATGAAGCTGCTACACAATTTTCAGCAATTCCTTACTGAAGAGAAGAAATATACTTTGTTGTTTGCATAATCTGAGGTTTATTTTTAAAAATAGGCCCCTAGAAATTTATTTTAAAATGCATAAAATATAAGAGGGGATTAATGGATAGAGATAGGTAGATGAATAGATAGTAAATGAAAAAAAGTTTACTAAGATGTTCAAGATGAAATTTAGGTGATGGGTATACTGATGTTCACTGTAAAATTCTTTCAATATTGCTGTCTGTTTGCAAACTTTCATAAATAATGTTGAGAAAGAAAAAGTACCTGAATATATTCCTGCCCTCAACAGAATTTAAGTTCATTCTCCTCTACTTTCTGCATCTTTAGGGCTGATGATTAGATAATTAGCAGGGAAATAGTTAAGAAAATCCTCTATAATATACTGATTTACACAATACTTATTGCTTAATTTGTATACTCATATTTGTCATAATTTTCAACCATGAGTATTGTGCACTCTCATCGTTAACCAGAAGTTTGGATAATTAGAACGCTTGCCTCTCCATTATTTCTTCAGCATGAGCTCTGAGTGCCGGTCCCAGAGGATTTAATACAGTCAGAAATGGAGGGTGACTCCTGGGTGTTACTTGTTGGAACAGGAGAAGTCATTTTCTTGCTTGTGATTCATAAGCCTCTCATCTGGGGAAAGCCACTCATATTGTCATTGTTAAAATGATTCACTGCCTTTTCAGTCTGTGGGTCTGTGTGACTCTCTGGCCTCTCTTGCTTTTTTTTTTTTGGTGGCTCTAGGATGGGAGGAACCCTCATTATAATAATAATAACCAGCATCAGATGGGTGTTTCAGCCTTGTGAAACTCTTCCATTTGCCCTACTTCATCTGATTGTCCTGACCGTGCTATGATGCATGTAGGCCAGGTAATATTATGTCCCACACCTCTTTTACACATTCAGATATGAAGTGTATAAGTGATCTGGCCAGTTTCATTGTAGAATATTAAATTAGGGAGCCAAAATTAGAATCCAAGTCCCTGACTTCTAATCCAGTCACCCTTACTTAATGCCTAACTAAAAACACATGCAATTTCTCACAGACAAATTTTGCCAGGTGGCGTACAGCTTTAAAGGGAATAGGGTTGAGGTAAGGCCACATAAGGATAGAGAAGGCGATTTTCCTTGGGTTGAAATCATGCTAAGTCACCATAACATCTCAAATCCATGTCTTTGTCTTGTTCTTCGATATTTAATGTGGTTAGAAGTTCAATCTCAGCTTAACTACTCCCAAATGAAATTTCTCTGAGCTGGATACTATTTTAGGATTGGTCAGTAGAAGATAGTCAATAAGAACATTTTCCAAGATGCCACCGTGCCTGTCACCACTTCAGGGCACTTGTTCTTGCTCAGGTAGAAATTCTTATTTCATCAGCTTCTTGGAAGCTATTAGAGATATCCCAGAAATGTCAACTGCCATGTCTTCAAAGGCCACTTAATTCTCCTTTACTTTGAATTTTCTGGCATGGAAATTAAAGAGCATCAACTATGAAGTCTGATATCCATGGATCTAAAGCTGTACTCTACTACTTCCTACCTGGGACATCAGGCAAGTTGCTTGGCCTCCTTAAGCCCCAAGTTTTTATTTATAAAATGAGATTAATTATAGGGCTTGTGTCATGGGACTGTTAGGAGGATTAAATAAAATAATGCCCATGAAGGGCATAGTTCAGTACTAATTGCTTGGTAGATACTCTTAAGTACTGGTAAGAATTTTAATAATTCAAAGTTAGAATACAGAAGTGACTTTCCCATGTTAGATACAATTTACCTCTCTATCTAGTTAGAGAATTACATTTACATATATTTCTCCCTCCCTTCCTCCCTTCCTCCCTCCCTCCTTCCCATCCTCTCCCCCTTCTTTTCTTCCTTTCCTCCTTCCTTCCATACATCTTTCATGAGTGATTTTAACATGTCAGGCAGTCCTTACTTTTGTGGATATTGCAGGCTAGCGGGGGAGACAAATTAATTGAGGAACTACACAAATGAATGTAAAATTATACTTGTAGTAATTGCTATAGAGCATATCATAGGAGGCTGTGACTTAGTAGAGAATTTCCCTGGGATCTGCAAGTGAGTGATAGCTAACTAAGCGAGAAGGAGTGAGAGCAGGGAGAGTGACACAGAGGTCAGATACTGGGTTTAGTAGGAAAGACCCTGTGGCAGAAGGGACTGTGACGACTCAAAAGAAGTCATTGGGGCTGTAGCAGAGGGTGCAAGGGCCAGAGTGGTACAGAGATGGACAAGGTTCATGGGGAAGGGCCAATGCAGGCAAAGTCTATTGGCAGTCTTCCAGGTTGCTTTTGATTCTAAGAGCCATGGGTGTCCATTGAAGTGTTCTAGGTAGGGCTGTAATATACCAGTCAGGAGTCATTAGAGCCCTACAGTACAGAGAGCAGAAATGGAATGACCTGCAGACTGGATCATCTAAATTCTAATTTAGTGCTCAGAGATCTGGGAAATTGTCAAAGTAACAGGCCTTGGTACTCCTTCTCTGGGAAGCTTATTGAACAAGTAATAGAAATAGAGTCACATGTCTCACAAGTGCAAATACCAGTCACTACAGGGTGAGAGAAATCAATTGAGAGATTGAATTCTGGAAAAGGACTATTTTATTGACTAGCATTAAGCAAGTTAAAATTTACTCCATTATAAACTTTTGTTCTTACCTAGCACATTTTCTGAACTGATTTTACATGTTTCTTTTATGTAATCTGTCTAAATCTCCCAGATTTGTTCAGTTTCACAGTAACCAACTCCATTTGGGGAAGTGCAAAGTGGACTATTTTTGACCTTGAGGGAGAAATCCTTTGAGGTACTGTGTTTAGGGAGAGGTCTTGTTGCTATTTCTAGTGACCAGGAGAAAAATGATACTTGAGCATCACTGGAAGTTGAACCAGAGTGGACAGGGAAAACCAATCACTGTGCTCCACTCCCACTTGTAACCCTGATTTCAGGCAGGAGAAATCATCTATAGATCCACCCACAGAAGGAATCTTGGCTCTTGTCAGATCCATCCAGGGCTTGCATTATGAAGAATCATGAATTCAACAAAACTTTTCTTCCTTTTCATTCCCTGTCCAACTTCCTTACCCATATCCACCTACCCATATTACGGCCATTTCAATGCCCAGTCCTCCCAGGCAACCGGTACTTGTTTCCTCGGTTTTGGCTGCATGACTAACCCCTAGGTTAGTCCTTCGTTGCCCCACCTTGTCCCACTCTGGCCCCTGCTCCCTTAGCTTCAGCCCCAGGGGCTTCTTTCCAGTCACCAAAGTTTTTTTCTGCCACAGAGTCTCCAGAACCCAGGGATTAAAATAAGACACCCCACATCTGGCCCCTCTGGCTGCGCCCCCACCCCGATATCTCACAGAGTTTTGGAGAAGGGAACAAAATACTTCCTCATGGAATTTCAGACAAATAAATCCTTAACACTGACTTGTTTGGAGCTAGGGGTGGAGGTCAGGTTGGAACTCCCTGCAGCCAAGGTCATCTTTTAGCTGCCTCCCTGACCATGCGTAAATGAGCAAAAGCACAGACACACTGAACATCAGTATGCTAGTTACTGAGACTGTAAACTTACCGTTCTAACATTGAAACTCTCTTGTCCTAAGTAAGACATGCTTAATTTAGTTCCAAGCCTGACAAATTTCTTGTCACAGCCCAGAGTCTACCTTACAGAAAACAAATCCCTTTCTTGCAGTAGAGTCACTTATTAGTGAGGTTTGGCAGTTCTGTTTTGGTGGGTAGTGATTAGCCAAATGAATCTTAGACTCAGGGACAGTCTATTCTTGGGCAGAGCACAAGTCACCTTTAATATAGACCTTAGCTTGCTTGATCAGGTGCTGTTGGGACTGAATGCAGGAAGCACCCTTCAGAAGTTTTATAACTTGGTAATAAATGTATATACATACCAATTATACATATGTTGTACAATAATGAAAGTCTGAAATGAATATTGGAATGTTTGAAGAGATTTTAATGTTAATTACACTCAACATTTAAAGAAAAAGAAATTCAAACACTTAAAAAAGGAATAAACGAAACATTTATGCTTCAACAGGAACTTCTTAAATACACAATTTTCTTTTAAGAACAACTGTCTTGTTTTTCAAAAAAGTGCTTCATCCAGGGTGCCTGCTTGGCCCACTTCTTTCTATGTCCACATCATCAGGGAAACTTCACTCTGGCTCCTACACTAATGCCCCGTGACTGAGATGATTTGACTACGTCTGTTGGTACGACTAAGTTCATGATCCTTATGAAAAAATAAAAACATTGGGCTCCCATCTCCCATTTGTTTGCCTGGCCAAAGCCATCTTGTGTTCCCTCTGCTTCCTGTTTGCAGAGGAAAGCTTCAGGGAAGGAGTTATCATGTGTCCTCAGAGTTCACAATCCAAGGATATGCCAATGGCACTAACAGGTAAGTGGGAAGAGTTCTTGCACATTCACCAGCCACCTTGAGAGACAAAATTTCATGTACGTCAAGGATGGTATCATGTTTCATAGTATGCATCCACCCAGAGGGCTGCAGATTTCTTCAATGCCCTGTAGAAGGAGTGAACAAGATCTTCAGGAGGTGAGACTCTAAGGCAAAGGTTGCTACTCTGTGAAACATTTGCTCTTTTACTTGGTACAAGGCCATGTTGTCATTTTCAGCTGTATGTGAAAATGTCTTTCTTTGTTGCCCAGTGGAAGAAGTCAAGTACACTAAATTTTTTTTTTTTTTTTAGAAAGTTAGGCCACATTTCCTTTATTGAGGAGATTGAATTTTTCTTTCATTTATTCTTTTCTGTACCACAAACCATCACCTACTCTTTTTTTCTAGTATTAAAAAAAAGCTTCACTGAGATTCTACAAGATAAAGCATACAACTATATGCCAACCCATCCAATATCCACCTACCCATCCTATTTTATAATGTGAGAGATACTTTTCTGGGCTCTGGGGATACAGCCATGAACCAGGGAGAGGTGAGTCCTCTCCACATGGAGTTCCTGGACTAGCAGGAAATGCTATAATTTATTACTCAATATATTATTTAGTCATGATTGTGACAAAGGTCATGAATGAAGAGAACCAGGTGTTGCAAGAGCATGGGAGTTAGTCATGGGTTCAAGGAAGACTGAGGAGGAAAAGGCATTTGAGAGGAGCTGTGGAGAGTAAATGGAAATTGACAAGGTAACAAGGAAGGTGGCCAGTTGGAAGAACAGTCAAGGCAGAAGAACAGGTGACAAAGGAAATTAAATGGCAAGGAGCAGGGTTTTATGTAACAAATGAAGGGAAGCCAGGTATCTGGAGGGCAGGGGAGGAGAGTGGTAGAGTCCAAAACTAGAACACTAGTCAGAGATCAGATCAGAATGGGCCTGGCCTTGTTTTCTTCATTCAAGATACTGTGTTTTTGATTGTTTGTTTTTTTTCCAATTCTAAAAGGAAAAGAAATTATTAAACTCAGACCACTGGCAGTTAGTTTGACCAACACAATGGTTTCTAGGGAATTGTGAATGCTTTAGGATAAGTATGGATTTTCAGTCCCATCAGGCCTTGCCAATCTTGGTCAGTTACCCCTGGAGTCATTCTACAGGGGATGAGTCACCCCTGCCTGATTCACACATTTATGTCCTGCTGGACTTTGCAAGCATCTTAGTTTGCAACCTTGGACCAGATGATTTGAGAATCCCTCCCACTTAAGTTCTTGAATGTGTAAAGGCTCTGTAGGGGATACAAAGGCAAATAATGCATGGCCTTGCCTTTAAGATGTTTGAAGTTTAGTAGGACAGAAAGGTATTTTCACTAAGAAGTACCTAGAAGGCAGAAGGTAAATGTTAAGAATTATTATTATCATTGCTGTTGCTGATGCTATTCATGTCCATGCTGGCTATCCAGATGCCCTTTAATAAATGGTTATTGGGCGAATGAGCCAGTGAATAGTCTGGGGACTGACAGTGAAGGAAAATGAGAGCTGTGAGTTGAGGAGACTCTATTATTACCTGACAATATCTCCAAATGCCTTCAACATGGGCTTATTCACGTACTGCAATCCGTGCTTGGCACACAGGGACCTCACCAGAGGTGCCGCCTTGTGATAATTATGACGAGGCATAGTGGGGAACAGACTAGGGAAACAGAAATGAAACATACAAAACTTAGACCTACAGAGAAACATGAGAGAGTTTTCTTTCCCCATTACTAAGTAAAATTATATCAGCAATTCAGACCCAACCTTGACTTTGCACAATACTTCTGCTCTGGGAAGTTAAAAAGCTCTTGCCAAACATTCTTATCTCTTAACTTTCTGTGAGCCCTGTGGGCGGCAATGTTTTGGAAAAGCTAAGAAAATAAATATAAGCTCTATCAAAAATGTTTACATTTGGCCAGCTCAAAGGCAAGTGTGGAGTTTCCTACCATTCTGAATTACCTAGAGAGCTGGAGATATCCATCCTGCATCTCTGTCTCTCTTGTGTGTCTGTCTCTCTATACATCTAACTTCTGCATCATGAATAGGTGAGTATTCAGTAAATCCTAGTCATGGCATATGGGGAAAAGTTCAAGGACAGGAATGAACAGTGAGAAAAGATGGGGTTCTTTCCAAGGTTTTTACTAATTAGCCAGATGACTTTCTTGGTTTTTACCCCCTCTTTGATAAAATATAAGTAATAATTCTGTCTTGTTTTGCTGGGATTTAAAAGACTAACATGAGAGAAAGGATAAGAAAATCTTATGAATAGGTATAACAGTTCTTTCCTTCTCTAACCATCGCAGAAATGGCCTAGACAAAAGGATGTAGAGTTTATCCCCTGAATATTCTGGAGAGATTAATTCTCAAAGGATTATAATTTACTCTTTCTTTAGGGCATGTCTGCCTCACCAACCCATCGGTAATGGAAATACCTGGAAATACCATTTGGAAATGGCAGCAGAGACTGATTTTCATTATTGATTATTTTGTAACCTATAGACAGATAGGCATTTAGGAATGGAATGAAAAAAATAAACTGACAAACAGAATAGAAACAGAGGCATGGATAATGGAACACGCTGTCAGCTGTCAGAGGGGAGGGGGGTTGGGGAGCTGGATGAAAGAAGATAAAGGGATTGAGCAAAAAATAACACCAAACATATACATAACCCAAGACAGACAATAGTGTGGTGTTAACTAGAGGGAAAGGAGGGTAGGGGGTTGGTTGAGGAGGACAAAGCAGAGGAAATGGTGACAGAAAGAGACTCGGGGTGATGAGTATCTGATGCAGTGTGTAGGTGATGTTTTGTTGAGTTGTATACTTGAAACCTGTATGGCTTTATTAACCAATGTCACCCCAATAAATTCAATAAGTAAACAAATAAATAACAATTAATTTCAACACAACTTTGTTACCCAAGTGGCATAATTTTTCTTGGGTTTGTCAACAAGCCAAATGCAAAGAAAACAATCAATACTTTCTAAAGCCACGGGAATCTGGAAACTGAGTCACTGGTGTTTTTACAAGATTTCGCTCTATTTACTTATGGTTGTCATACCTCCTTCTTTTCTTTCTTTCCTTCCTTACCATTGATGTTAATAGAAAGATAGAAGCCTTTAGAGAACTCTGGTTCACTTTTTTTCCTCTCTGAGATCCCAGGCCTATGCTCTGCTCTGGACTGTATAGGGCCTGTTATATATCAGAACCTTTACCACCTGTCATGGACTGTTTCTATCACTCACTGGTGCTCGATTTGGAAGTTCAGGTGCCCAGTGAACCAGTCATTGAAAAAGGACTGTTCAACATTACAGGTGGCCAAGACCTGCAAAAAAAAAGCTTATGTTAGATATAAATAAGCTCAAGTGTCAAATAGAAAAAAATTTTATTATTTTTTTTTCAGTCAATCATTCAACAAGTGCTTGTCAAGTGCTTATTTTGTGTAAGAAATTATGAGGAATAAAGAAGATAGATGGTCCTAGGTAAATAACTTACAATTTAAAACAGCAATAAGACATTTTCTAAGTATATATAAGGCAGTAGATATGAAAAAGAGTATAGGACTTGAGGGGGCTAAGTCACCATCAGTCTTTGGCTACAGAAGACTAAGGTGTCACAAATGAAGACCTTGGCAGACAGAAGTGAGAATATAGGATTTTGGCAGAGACTGTAGGGGTTAGAACGCCATTTCCATAGAGTAGACTTGAAGGGCTTCTAAATGGAGGATAAGACATTCAAAGGTTTTAACCAAGGGGTCCGTGCACAGAAGTACATTAAATGTAAGTATTTTACTTTGTAATCTAATGCTTTATGCATTGACAAAGTATTATCCTGAGGAGTTTGCAGGCTTCTCCAGACTGCCAAGATTAAGATCCCTTATGAATGTTATTTTATTCAATGCTTTTCTAACATATAATTCTACTTGGGTTTGTTGCCTTTTTGAGTGTTATTTTTGGGGTGTTCTAAGTCAGTGTTTCTCAAGGTGTTCTTCAGAGAAACTTGGGGTCCCCTAGGACATTCTTCGGGAGATCTGCAAGGTCAACACTAGTCTGGTAATACTTCTAAGACATTTTTTGCCTTTTTTAATTCTTATTTTCTCATGTTTGTACAGTGGATTTTCCCAGAAGCTACTAACATGGGATGGCACCATCACTCTGATGCTAACATGTATTGGTTTTATCCTTATTTTAGTTACTAATAAATTAATAATTAATCCACAATATTTTAACATGTCAGTTTTAATTTCAAATATAGTAAATATCCATTAATTCAAATGACTTGTACAAACACAAGGTTTTTGAGGCTCTCAGTCGCTGTTAATTGTGTAAAGTGGGTATGGGACCACAAAACTACGGAGAACCATTACCCTCTGCCCTGTGGAAGGTCCACTGAATTTGGAAATGAGCTTGGAGAAGGGAGAGGAATGATGACTGGGTTCTCCAGTCAATCATGGCTCAGCTGGCGGGAGGCTGAGGAGGCAGGGGTGTTCTGCACCTGTCATAACGCTGAATCATTCACATCATGCTTGGAGAGCATGTCATGCTTCCTCACTGAGCCTCTCTACCTGGACAAGGAAATGAGGTGCATTCCAGTGGCCTTCTGGGTGTCAAATTCATGCTGTAATTCTAGGCATCCCAAATTTACTTAAAAGGCTGTGTCATGTGGGAACAGGGGTCAGCAAATTTTTTCTATAAAGTGACACACAGCCAATATTTTAATTCTCTGTCACAATTACTTAATTCTGCTGTTGTAGCATAAAAGCATTCATAAATAACATAAAAATGTCTGAACATGGTTTTGTTCCAAGAAAACTTAATTTTTAGAAATAAGCGATGGGCCGGATTTGGCCCTTGGACTGTAGTTTACTGACATTTGGTTTAGAGTAAAGGTTCTGAAATCGAACTGCCTGGGTTTAAAACGTGCTTGCACCGCCTATGAGCTATGTGATCTTATATGCAAGTTACCCAACTTCTACATGCCTCAACTTTATCATTTGTGAAGGAACAGTCATAGCACCTATCTCATGCAGTTACATGCAAAGCAGTTGACAATGCCTGGTCTCTGGCAAGCACTGTATAAGTATGAATTCTTATTATCAGAGGCAATCAGATGTTTCAGAGGATGCTCTCCCAGGAACTTCATTATTACCTGCGTACTGAACCAGTCTCTGTTCTCCTCTCGGCTCATTTTCATTGCTAAATGGCTCATCTGCGTAACATATGTAATCCAGGGACTTTCAAGAAACCTTTTGCAAAATAAAACAGGAAGTGATAAAGTGATGACTCTTTGGGGTGTTACAGTTCCAATTACTGGGCTTGCATAATTGCTGGCTGAGCATTGGAGGAGGTGCAAGGGAGTTCAAGGTTTTAATAAAATAGTGGTCATTTATTTTCCTCTTTGGAAGCCCTTTATACCTAGCAATGACACACCAGGCATTTGGTCACGTGACCTGCCTTGCTGCCTAATGTGCAGAAGCAGCTGCCTAATATGCAGAAGTTGTAGCATAAGTGCAAGGATCAAAAGATACCTAGGTGACTTAAGGGCATATGCAAAGTGATTAACTGCCAGGGCTTTCTCATCAGAGAGAGCTGGGTTCAAGTTCAGTTGCTGCACTACCACAGGACCTTACTAGCTCTATAGCCTTGGGCAAGAGATTTAATCTCTCTGAGCTCATCTTCCTTAGAAGAAAATAAAGATGATACTTATCTATATTACAAGATTATGGGAGGATTACATGAAATAAGATAATGCATGTTAAGCCTTCAGCAAAGTGCCTAATGCATATTAACTAGCATTATCCTTATTATCATGTAGGATTTAGAATAATAAAGTAAAATCGTGAGTGGGGAATAAATTGGGAAGTTGAGGACTATGCAGTGGGAAGTCATTTTGGTTGTGGGAAAATCTCTAGTCATAAAATAACTTTAAAAAATTTCTTCCCTTCCATTATCCTTGGCAAAGATAACGATGTGTAACTGGATTACAATTTTAAAAGATTTGAGGATCAGGTGAAATACTGCAATTAGGAATTGAGCAAGTGGGAAAAAAGTAGATTGGGCAAAAAATTTTTTCTAGGGAGCTCTTCTTATTTAACTATTGCAACTTATTTGTTTATTTTTTACTTTTTTTTTTTTGGAAGTGACATTCTATAACTTGCAGTTACAGAGAATGGGGCGTGGTGTCATAATCTTCTGCAAATCACAAATAGATTAGATTAAGGAGGGTAAGAGGACTGTCTAGGTTATAGGAGTAAGAGGATATTCTTGCTTTCTTACTTGACCAAATATATGAGCAACATGGTTCCGAAGATTCCATAGAAAGGGCCAAAGGTGATGAAATAGCGGAGGTAAAAACTGCTGACCCAGGCAATATCCTGCAGAGAGAAGTGCTTGAAAGTTAGATGCTCAGAACACAATTTCATTTCCCTTCCATTGGCCTAGGGTCCCTCCATGTAGTGGCTAAACCTTATGTTCTGTTATTCGAGGAAACTCTATCTAGAAGGGAGCAAGCATTTTCACTTCCTGTGTTCTACCTGATTTGACTTCAGAGAGTGAATGAAGTTACTCACCCCCCAATACCTTCGGAGGTACATCACTTGCATGGATTGCAGGTTGAAATATACAGGCATGAGGAGGGGAAGCCCAACTGAAAAAAAAAACCCAAACAACAAAAAAGATGGTGAATAAATGAGTAGAATATGACCTCAGTGCAACTCAGTAGGAGCCCCTCTTCTTAATATGCCACCTACAAGGTTGCCTCTGAGCAGGGCAGCAAGGTTGAGATCCCAAACCAGGAGTTTTGAGTCTCTGAGGCTGAACCAGGAATTTGGTGGTCAATCTACTCTTTTTTTTCCCCACTTGTTTAATTCCTAATTGCAGTATTTCACCTGATCCTCAAATCTTTTAAAACTGTAATCCAGTTAGACATCATTATCCTTGCCAAAGATAATGGAAGGGAAGAAATTTTCTAGTTATTTTATGACTAGAGATTTTTTCCCACAATCCAAATGACTTCCCACTGAGTAGTCCTCATGGAGACTAGGGAAGCTTTCAAGATTTGAGTCATTCTTGATGGAGGCATCCTGGGAGAGCTTCCGCCATGAGCTTTCAAGTTATCTCAAAGTCTATGGAATTCTTCCATCCGTCACAATCTTTAGGATTGGACCCTGCCATAATAGGTGAGGATGGGAGAAATAAAGAAGCTGTACTCCTTTCTTGGCCAAAGAATTATTTACCTCCTCTCCCCTGAGGATCAGTGAGGCTAAAGCACAAATGAGTCTTGGGGAGACCCTTTGTGTTCTGACAGACTCTCTCTTTGACTACACTTCAGTCAGGTACTCTGAGTTCTCTTCTAGACTAGGCTCTGTGTTGGCCTGAAAGCTCTCAAACTCTGCAAACTCTCAGCACAAATGATTTCATCTGTCCCACATACTAAGAGACTTGAACAAACACCAGCATAGTTTCTAATAGCTCAGGGCCTCATCCCTGGATGACTTTTCTTAGAATGTTTATGTCAGAAATCTTACTATTGTAAATTCTTTCTCTGTCCTTTTGAAATGCTTCTTCTATCATTCAGAAATATCTTCCTCAAGGACCTGGGAATTACCCCCTTGAAATATAATCATGAAGGTTAGGGCCCTGTTTCCCAGACTCTGTGGGAGGGTAGGAGCCCAACTTCCACATGCACCAGCTAACAGGCACAGATGACTCAATCACAGTGACCGATTTCCCCTCCCCTCAACATCTGTCAGCAATTTCCTTTAGCCTGCCCCCATGTTTAAAAAGTCTCCTACATTTTGTTCTAGCAGAGTTGAGCCCAGTTTATACTGAAGTCTGTCCCCTTACTGCAACGGCCTGAATAATGTCTTACCATCTTTAACAAATGTCCAGCTCTGTTTTTCTTTGACAGTTTGAGTTTGACTTGTTTGTACCTGAGTTGCTAAGTTGGCATTTGAAGAGAAAAGATGCAATGAACCAGCTCCCGAGGGCTGTGTAGTGTGTGTGTGTGTGTGTGTGTGTGTGTGTGTGTGTGTGTGTGTGTGTGTGTGTCTAGCAGGGGGATGGATTCGGCAGTGAGTCCACACCATTCATTCATTTTCCATAAACTAAGGGCATATTGCTGCATGCAAGATGGGAAGAAAGTTCAGAAAAGAAACTTCGAAAGCTTTTTCTTAAGTAAACATATACCTAGCGAGGCTGGGGATCGGCTACCTTTCAAAATGGGACAGCAATGTCTTCATTTCTCTTGTTGCTTGTGCAAGAGAAGGAACAGGTGACCATCATAGGGTGAGCTGCAGAATTCCAGCAGCGGAAGGGGGAGCAGTGGAATGGATCCCCATGTCTCTAAAAATTGGCTCACAGGCTATCTGGTTAGGTATGTTACAAGGAACTACTGGCAGCCAGCATTTGGGCAAATCTGATAAACTGAAACAGAGTTTCTCAGCTTTGGTGCTGTTGGCATTTTGGGCCAGATAATTCTTTGTTGTTAGGGGTTGCCTTGTGTAGTGTAGGATGTTTAATGGCACCCCAGGCTTATACCTCCTGAATCCAGCACCAGCTCTTTCCCTCTGTGGTGGTAACCAACCACATCTCTAGAGATTGTCAAATGTTCCATTGGGAGCAACATTGCTTCTGGTTGAGAACCACCAATCTACAGGAAATGTTTGGAGCCTTCCCTGATTTTGGTTTACTTCCCAAAATAAACCAAATGGCTTATTACATTTTTGTAATCAGCCATGGGTTTGATTTTGGTTAAAAGCAAAGAATTTTGCTTCTGGTGTTTTTATTAGTATCAGAATTGTTTAGTTAGCCTGTTTTTCTTTATGTCTGGATCCACATCCCACATTTAGACCTATTATCTATCTGTCTAATCTAATCTATCATCTATCTATCATCTTCACCCAACATCTGCCTGTCTCTATTTACTAAAATATCTCCTACAACTATATGTAAGCCATGGAAACAGACAGTTTTATTCCATACAGAAGCTCTAAAGGTGTCTTTTATTCCTGGGCTCCCACTTTTTCTGACATCACACTGTCAATACCTTGGAATTCTTTTCCTATCTCTCTTTCCTCCCTACCCAAAGGCCACTATTCTTTTCTTGTTCATAGGTGTTTAGTTTTTTCACATTTAGAGTCTCAGATTCAAGACCTCTTGACTGGCATCTTGTCATCTATCCTCTTGGAGCATCTTCTTCCCAGCCCGATACCCAGAGGGATGAGATTTGCCTCTATTTCCTTTTCAGGTTTCTACCCCAGTAAGTCTGAAATAAGACATGCTACTTTTCTGAGTTACAAGACAACATGGGAATCCTCTCTGTGAGAGGATTCCAGTCATGCCTTCTGGCCTGACGACTACTTGCTTCAAGAAAGTGGAATGATAAGGAATGTGGCTCCAGGAGACTCACCCATGTAGAAGTACAGGTGCTGCTTTTCATAGTCAATGTATTTGATTTTCCTCTTGCCATACTGAATGGAGAGAGAAGGAAACTTAAATAAGATACAACACTTCTGGCCATTATAGTCAAAGATATGTGTGTTTGTGTGTGCCTCAAATCTCTATGGAAAGAGCCTTCTGACTAAAGTTCATTGGCTGTTGAACTTGAGACACTAGAAGAAGCAGAACTGGAATGGGAGAAAATATTGTGGCATCTTTTTGCTTTAATTAAATGTGGACAATTCTTGCATGGATGGTTTGAGTATGGGGATTGTAATAATGTTTTTTTTTAAATTTTATTCCCATGGAAGCCATTTTAAGGTTTTTTGGTCCATATGTAGAGTGGAGTGGTGATTGAAAAGGCACATTTCTAATGAGTTTTTCTAACTCTTCTTTCACTATGATGTTTACAATTCTGCTTGAAACTCAGTCTTTATCTGTATTCATTCATTCATTCAACAGATATTTATTGAGTGGTCATGTGATTATAGATGTAAGCATGGCTCCTCCTATCTGTCCCATCTTTCCTCATTTGTGTTCTGATTATGGATCTCATGCTGTAATTTACTATTTGTAAAGTGCAATGATATTTATATGATCTCAGTACTGGGCATTTGATTCCTTTTCTAGGGGTCTCCTTCATTAATTTAATTTTTTCTCAGAGCATGAAGACAGCAAATACCTTGAGAACAGGCATAGATATAATGGTTATATCTCTAGTAACTTAGCAGGCAATCAATAAATGTTTAACCGGAGGAATAAATATATTAGTTTTAATTCACATCCCACTCCATATTTTTGATGTGTATTCATTCTGTTACACTATAAGCAGTGCTTGACTCTTGCTTTCCTCAATCTTTTAACACTTTTCTACCTACATAAATATAGACTTATTCTCCTACTTGGAGAGTAGGATTGATCTTCCCTTCTCATATTACCATAAATAAAAAGAAACATCATGATGATAAGGTAATAATAGCTATTTCAGTTGCTCTCCAACTTCCAAATATTTAAGTGATGGAAAAATGGAACAGGGAGTACGTGGGAAATGCTTGGGAGTTAGCAAACCTAGGGAAAGGCTAGTTTTGAGTATCACTCCAAAAGAGGACTCTAAATCTTCTGGGTACACAGAACCTGGCATGTAGAATACTTAATTAATGCTTGTTGAAAGAATGAATGTTTGAAGAAAGTGTTAGAAATATTGGCAATAAAATGAGAGAGAGCATTATTCAGGACTCATCAGAACTACTTTTGATGTGAAATAACTGAATTTTAGAGTTAAATAATTTTAAGTAATTTTTTTTGTGCAGTAGCTTTGAAACTATGTCTATAGATTCCTAAGAATGTGTCCCAAGAGCAGCTGTGGAACTTGGAGAGGGGTCCTCCATCATTTGTGAGGCTCTGGAGAAGGCACTTCTGGAGAAGCTCAAGCTGCTTCAGGAACTTCATTGAGACAAATCTCCCTTTGTTGGGGGATAGAGAAATCAAGTGTTACAATTTTAGTGATGAGCATGAAGTTTGCAAACATCAGAGAAGTCCAGTTCAGGTGTGGAGCCGTGGTGAAAAGCAACTGATTCACGACTAAAGCCAAAGATTTTGTTTTTCAAAATCTGGGCAAGAGAATTTGTTTCCTAATTCAGTCAGAGAAGAGGGTGAGTCTCCCAAAGCTGGGGAAACTTACTTTCAAAAAGTTGCACAATGTTTCGTTTATGTACCACAGGACCCAGGCAGCAACTGACCAAACTACATTCTTATTTTTATAAACCTCCTAAACACTTCCAGAAGAGGGTAGCAGCTTCTTCCTAAGTACCTGACTTTAGACCTCCTCTGTTGAAAAAAGACTTCCTCTTAGGAAACTTGGTGATCGTCTTGTACAACCAGTGAAAAATTCTGAAGTTGACTTTTCCCTTTCTTTTCCTATCATTTAAGATGTACAAATTAGAGGTGGAATCTGTAAGTGTTTTAAGAAGCACTTTGGCCGTGGTTCATGTATAAATGAATCCAGATGAACATGAACTAAGAAGAGGAGCAAAATCTCTTTTAACTGAACTAGAATTAGTTGAACTAACTAGATTTAGATGTTTGTGCCTTAGTGCTTATTGAATGTACTGACCTGTCTTCTGGGAGTGAACGTTTCCATGTCCTTGCAGAGTCATTGCCAACCTCAGTCGCCTAGTTTGACTATCTAACATTAGCATGTGTTGCTTCAGAGTTATCGATAAGAATTACGCAGGGATCTGCTTGTCACCAGGGTTGCTCAAGCAGAGTGATATGTGTTGTACAGGGTCCAGCAAAAATAACGCCCATTTTTTATTACATAAAAATCTTCTATTACAAAATCATAAGCATGTAATTCTGTAAAATAACAATATCACATTCGAGCACACCATATGACATTTTAGGTGAAATGTTCAAATTGCTGTCCACCTTGCACGAGACATTCACGTAACCTATCAACCACACTCAATGGTGTTACTTCTGCCGGACCCTGTATTTCTTATGCTAAAAGGTTATACTGAATAACTTTTAAGGACATAGAGTCAGGCGCTCCACATCTTCTAATTTGAGAACCCCAGATTCAGTTATTTCAAATCTATATTCTGGACTTAAAAAAGAGATGTTCTCAGGATGTATGTGAAAGCTGGGAGTTCGAGCTTGATCTTTCCAAGACAAGGCAAGAGGTCTTCCTAAGAACCACTTCTGGGAACACATCGGAACCACACCTAGGAACCTCTGGTGGTCAGGATTTCTAAACGTACCTTGACAGGTTGCAAATCTCCGATGAGGAAAAGTGGGCCTATATCAATATCTGGATCTTTGGGGTAAATGTTTGGTTTTACATGATGTTGGAAGTGTCGATAATTCCACCAGTTTGCTGACAGGCCCTGAGGAGAAAAGGGGGTTCATTCGTGGTGGTGAGATTTCTCTCTTGAAATATCCTTCATGATCAGAGTTTTCTGCATTCCTCTCCCAAGTAAAAATAAGACATTCAAATTTCTCAAACTTGCCCCCACTGCTGGGTCAATGAATGATTCATTGGACAAGGGCTCTCATTGCCTAAGAAAAAATAATTATCTGATTCAGGAACATAAATTCAGGCTTCAAAAACTCCTGGTAGTAAGAACCTGTTGAAATGAAATATTTTTCCATCTTTCTTTTTTGTTTCTCATTTAAAAAAAATTCTGGATGTAGGTAGGGCAGAGATTATTTTTCCTTTTTTTTTTTTTTTTTTTTTTTTTAGGAAACCTTACCTCTAAGACTTTAATTAGTTCTGGGGGAAAATGGCCCAAGGAATCCTACTGCAATGAATATTTCAAGGAATTATGGATCTGAAGTGATCTCCTAGGGGAGCTTGGCTCAGCTCATTGCATGTCCAGGCTTTAATGCTCTCATATAAAAATAAATGAGAATAAAAATATTTTAGCCCTGGCCACATAGTTGGTGTGAGATACATCAAGGTTGCGAGTTTGATCCCTGGTCAGGGCACATACAAGAATCAACCAATAAATGTATACATAAATAAGTGGAACAACAAATCAATGTTTCCTTCTCTCTCTCTCTTACACCCTTTCTGTATTTAAAATCAATATAAAAAATATTTTAGCTGCTGCTATGCTCGAATCATCCCTGATTAGGTTGTTTGTGATTTTATCTCTCTTAATTGAAGTCTGAAGGGCTTAAGAGAGCAAAGAATTTGGAAGTACATCAACCTAGTTTCCTTCTATGTATTAGACTCATAAATATTGCTGTGTGGTTTGGGCAGATTACCCATCCTCTTTAAGGCTCAATTTCATCTCTAGTATATATAGGATAATGATATTTACCTCCATGAAGCATTTGGGGGGGGGTATGAGATGTTGTATGCAAAATGTTGGCACTTTGAAATAGTCAATTTCCTCTCCTTTCCCCTGTGGTGTTAATCATTTACAGAATAATTAGCAGCAGTAGGTTTTTATTGTGTATTTGACATCTCTCAGTAACTGGTCTATGTGTGTTTTAGATCTTTATTGTGCAATATAGTAACCATAGCCACATGTGGCTATGGAGCATTTGAAATATGACCAAATTAAGGTGGGCTGAATTTTGAAGATTCAGGATTAGAAAATGAATAAAATTTTTATCTCCAGAACAGATTAATAATTTTAGACTGATTTCTTGTTAAAATGATATTTGAATATATATAATAATAAAGTTACCTTTTAAAATGTGGCTATTAGAAAATTTAAAATGACTTATGACATTTTAATGTGACTTTCATTATATTTTTGTTGCACTATGTTCGTCTACACACTATACATCTATGGTACAGGAGATGGGTTTGTGTGAAAAATCTGTGTTAACATCGTCTTTCCATAGTCTTCACTGCAGTTTTCTCTTAGTGATCTTCCCTGAGCCCTCAGTCCATCAGAAGCAGCACCCTCTTCTCACTCCCAGCATTCCTCAGTGTCCTCGCTGTGGGGTTTCTCTCTCTCCAGTCCAGCCCTCTTTCTTGAATGTCATGCTTAAATAGGTGATATCACTGTCCAACATTTCCTTTTGCATGTCTCATGATATCACAAACTCAACATGGACTCATCAATTTCTATTCTTCCTTCTGGGGCTCCAACAGACTGCATTTCTCCTATCAAACACCACCCACTCACTCACATTTTTGAATTCACTCACTTATTTACCCATTCATTATTTACTTTGAAGTATGTCCTGTGTGTCAGATACTGAGCTAGGCAGGATTTGGAATATAATGATAGACACGATAAAATGGGATTCCCACACTCATGAAACAATCTATTGGGAGCAGTAGACAACTAAACAGGGACATTGTGATAAGCAATGGTTCTCTTTTTCAATTAATCCTCTGGGAACCAATATCTTGGCCATGTCTACTATCTGACTATACCCTTAAGCCAATGACTATCTATGGAAATTGATAATAGGAGAGACCCATTTTGATTCATGAAGGTCAGAGAGCATCTGCTCAAAGTTGTGGATCTTACAACAGTGGTCAGGGTGTGATCTAAAGCAATTGGCTCCTCCGTGGCTCCTCTGGAAGCCACAATTATTGGAGACAAAGGAGAGAGTGATCCATGGGGAAGTGAGGATTATCAAGTACCTGCAAAAACAGGCTACCTCGCACCAAGTCCACATAGGATCCACCCTAAGTCACCCTCATTTCCACATTAGGTCCTTTCTTTGGCAGTATCCAGGCTTTGGGAAGAAACCATCCTGAATCTAAAGCCCTGCTACTTGAGTGTGGCCTGGAGCAATTTCCTTTTCTGTAAAATGCATGGGGTTACTAGAAGGATTACAGGAAATAACATGCTTGACACTCTTCCTCTGAAAAATTTTAGGATGTAGTCATGGAAACAATACAGGTCAGATTTTCAAGGAGGGTCTTAATTTCAACAATTCTGCTTCTTTATCCTTGTAATAACACTAGATGCTTATAGTTTACAAAATATGCACACTGGAGGAGGAGGGTAACAGGGAGTCCATTTTTGATGATCACATTGCAGAGAAGTTCAAAATGTATGCAGACATTTCGTGGTTTGTTTCCAGATGGGTTCTTTTCTTATGCAAACATTTCAAAAACTAGAACATATATATATATATATTTTTGCACAGCTAGTGGATGAAAATTCCAAAGAATCTCAATATCTGTCAATGTCTATGCCTTTTCTTGGTGGGGGAAGGGCAAATTAATGTAAAATCAGTTTTTGAAATTTAAAACTGTCATGCACGTACAAGGTGGAGATGTATGCTCTTTATAGCATAAATTTCTTTGTTACCACCCTCCCACCCACATTTCCTCCCCTCAGGTAACTGTCTCTTGCACATAGTTGAAGCCAATATTAATTTTGCTCATGAATCACTAGTTTTTCTTGCAAAGGGGCAGAGTGCTCTTGTTTTGCCTTTAGAGGCATTTCTCATTTATTTACTCTGGTTACGAGACATCAAGATTATATTCAAATTATTTCTGGCCCTTGCCAGTATGGCTCGGTTGTTTGGAGCATCTTCCTACACACTGAAAGGTCATGGGTTCAATTCCCAGTCAGGGCACATCCCTAGGTTGCAGGTTCATCCCTGGCTGGGGTGTGTATGGGAGGCAACACATTGATGCTTCTCTCTCACATTGATGTGTGTCTCTGTCTCTCACTCTCTCTCTCTCTCATCTCCTTCCTCTTCCTCTAAAATCTATCTAGATAAAATTTAAAAAATCATTTCTGGAGACTAAATTTATAGCAAGAGAGCAGTGTACAACTTTGGACCAATAGGAAAGCAGTGTTTTTTTTTAAGTACCAGCAAAGTTGGGGTTGATTTGGAATATTTCACATACTGGCACCAAGTCAATTGCCAATTATCTCCAGAGCAGATGACTCTCACTTTTCCTCTGACTTCTTCAGAGTAGGGGAGGGAATTGTGAGAGGGTCCATTCCCTGACTTTCACATTGACATAAGAAACCATCTTTGTTTTATTTCTCTGTTAAAGATTTCTGAGTGCATTTAAAAACTCTTCATCTAACACTGGTGGATAAAGGGCAGAAGTGTGCTTACATGAATTTTCTTGTTAAACCTGTCATATAAGATGACATTATTCATTTTAACCATTTGTGGTACATATTTCTAATATGAATCCTGATCCAACTCTCTGTTATTTTAATATATATAAGCCTCAGTTTGCTCAACTGAAAGCAGAGTAGAATTAGATTTAGATGGTGATTATAACCCAGTATCTTCTAAGTCAATGTACAATCACTTCAGTAAGAAAAACCAGTTAGATTCTGAGCCAGTGCTTGTAAGTTTTTCCTAAGACATCCTGGCTTGACTGCAAGGATATGGCTTAGTGGAAGGCTCAGAAGCATCTTATATTCTATTGGACCAGAGTACATAGTCACCAAATCCTAGAATGTTATGGAAAAGTAGAGATCCAGCTTAACTTCTATAACAGATGACAACACTTGAAGGCCAGAGATAGAATGTGACTCCCTCAAGGTCACACATTGACCATTATCAGACTCAGGACTAGAAGCCATTCTTAGCAGTCCTTGGTTGGCTCATTCATTCACTTAACAAATGCTTATTGAAGTCTTACTATGTGTTGGGCACTCTATTGTGTGTTGCATTGCAGCGGTGCATAGAACACTCTTGCCTATCCTTCTGGAGCTTATGTTAGTGGGGATAAGACCAACTGTCTTCATACCCACTTGCTTTTTCTAGAAGTCTGGGTTTTGCAACCCTCAGCTCTTGAATGGATTCATTTGAGCTTCCTTTTACACTCTTCCCCTTTCTCTTCACTTTTATCTTCTCCTGCACCTTTTCCTTTATTTCTTCACAGCCCCATCCTTCCAGGACTTTTCAGTCTTCCTGAATTCCCCTAGGTTCCCCACAGTAAATGTTCAGAGCCTTCTGAACATTTTTTTACAGGTCATGATTTTTGACCTCATGATTTTACAGGTCATATCTTCATTTTTAAAGGCACAATTCTTCTGCGAGGTAGTTTCTTAACAAGGTGCCAGGGATTAGGCCAAATAGTTTACTGGGGTAAGAAAAAATGTTAGAACTTCTTAAATACAAATAAACCCTTTCCTCATAAAAATTTAAAATTCTAATTTTTATATCTATTATAATATAATATTACATATGAGCATATATAAATATCATTTACATTATTAGTATATTTACATTTCTCTGTGGGGTATGCACAAAGATTTTTTACTGATATGAGTGCACAAGCAAACCTGGAAACCACTGCCTTAGAAAATGACCTTCAAGAATCGCAATATACTTCCTAGATATCCTGTACCTTGAGATGACACATCACAAATCTGTGCATCAGGTGGTTCCATTTGGACTTCTTAAATATGGAAAGATGGCCTGTGTCATGCTGCAAAAATGAACTCTGGGCCTAAAAGAGATGAAGTTGTTAGAGGAGCTGGGAAGGCAAGAAAAAAATGAAAAATGAGACCACTGGTTGATTCAGGAGCCTGTTATAGAATTATGGTGGGAGATTTCATCTGACCTCAAGCTAAGTGCACTTTCTAAGTCCCACACATGTGGCATTCTTTCCCAGCTCTGTGCCTTTTAGTTAGGTGGCTCTCTCAGCCTACCATGCTCTCTTTGCCATTGTCAAAGTATTGCAGAATAGGAAGAGCATGGCCTTTGGAGTCAGGAAGATTTGGGTTCTAAACTGTTCTTCGCCACTTTTGAGCTGTATGACTCTCGGTGAGTTGTCAGTAGCCCTGAACCTTAGTTCTTCATCTGATAAGCAGGTATAATAACACTTTACTCATCAGGCTATTGTGCAATGTAAATACATGTAAAGTGCAAGGCTTATGCTAAGTATCAAACAAATGGTGGCTTCCTCTTTTGTTTCCAAAGTCACTTTTCAAGCAAAAGTGCAAGTTGGTTTTTAAGAAAATAGTTAAAATAAAAATTTCTGGAATTAACATTGATGTTAACTCTCCATAATCTCTTCCCCAATTGTCCCAATCAAAATTAATTGCCTATTTCCACGACAACAGCATGGGCTTGATCCTCTCCTTGGCATCAATGTCATTCTGTCATGTCATATGTTCAGATATTTGAATGACAATCTCTGTCACTGGATGACTCATTTCCCGAGAGCAGGGGTCAGGTGAATTTCCCTTTGTGTCCACAGCAATGTTGTGCTCATAGAAGCCTGTGTTCAAAGATTCATACTTTATTGAGCAAAGATTTATCAAAACTATACATCAGGTGCTAGTTGTCATTGCAGAGGAAACCAGATGTTCTTATTCTCATATCAGATGTATTCTCTGCTCTTGAAGAATTCATGGTCTAATGCATTGATAAATGTCGGTTGGTTGATGAATGAAAGAAAAAATGAGTGTTACATGGCTGAAAACAGAACTTTCAGTAATTGACCTTTTGTGGGCAAAATTGGGCAAAGAGTAGCAACTGTCATAAATTAATTATTTACATTTTGCCAGTCACTGTGCTAAGTGTTTTGCACATTAACTTGTTTAATTCTCCTCAAAATATTTCCATAAAGAAATGTTATCTCCCTTTTATAGACAAAATCTTAGGCCCAGCAAGGTTTGAAAATCTGCTGGTATCGGACACAGATGAGTACCTTGCCAAGAAGTATCAGGCAGCAGCTGACACTCATCTAAAGAGAGAAGAAATTCTGAGCCTTCCCCTAAAGCCATTGCCTGAGCTTAGGATGTCTGCTTACCTGAGAAATTGTAAGAAGAAAGGAAATACATATTGTAATTGGCCAGCCATTGCCAAAATACCACAGCATTAGCCAAGCCAGGGCTTCCAAAGTCAAGATCTGGATGAGGTGAAGGAAAAAGAACCCCAGGTTGGCACTGAACATGTTTGTAGCTTCTAATGTCCTCCGTAATTCCTGAAAGTCTTCTACCAACTGGGACTGTGAAATATTCAAGGAAGAAATCAGTTCTTTCAGTGGAAAGGGGACACAAATGATCATAATTAATAATCTGTTTAATTAACTTATTAATATCTTAATGTTATGAATAGAAATTTATTAGTGTTAAGAAATTTAATAGCAGCACTTAAAAACAACAAACAAAAAACAAAATATTTGAAAAATACTACAATATTTCTTCATTAGAAAAGAGAAAGATGAGTAGTGATTTGTAGGCTGTGCTCAAACTGTTATAAAACTATATGTCATTTTTATTTGAGGGGTGGTTGTGGTCAGTAAAAATATATAGGAGTCTAACAGTTGCCTTCTAAACCATCATTATTATTTCAGGTATTGATTCCTGGTTATACTTTGGGGAACTTTGTTATCTGTATGGATCTGTGTTACCGTAAATACTGGTGCAGTTTACAAAGGGATTGCTGCAGTGTCAGTTGTCTCTATAAATCAAAGGGCTGGTTCATAGAAGATGATGAACATAAGTAAATATAGACCACTTAGATTAGCTCAATGCATTAATTCCTGTAAGCTGCTCTCAGAGGATCCCCAGAAATAAGATAGGGTCTCTGGTGGCATTCGAGTGTCTGCTGGTTGGAGGGGTCTGGGTTCTGTGTACGTGTACTGAGCTTATGTGCATATGTGTGTACGTGCAAAGCTAGCATCAGCTCGTCACATCATACTGGAGAGTCAGTGCAAGAGCTGGGAGGAAATCTCTCTTAGCTTAATGACTATAAAGTGGTTGAAACCAGGACCGTGAGAAAGTGGCCAGAGTACAAGAAAGAGAACAGGATTGTTTACATGTAAGAAAGGAGACAAATTTGAAATAAAATAAGAGCTATGAACATAACTCTAGAAGTCAAACATTTTATTTAAAAATTCACTGATGCAACTTTTAAAGAACCCCCTGCCTGGGAAAATCTAGATCGGCTCATCTCTCAAGCCCCCATCAACCCTGGAATTCTGGAGGCCATAGATACTTTTAGTAGGTCATCTCTAGAGAGTCTCATGGCCTGGTCATGTTTTCCAAGCCACTTATTGTACAGAGACGGGGTTACCAAAGTCCAGAGGGGTGACTGGTCTGAAATCTTCAGCAAGTCAGTGGCAGATGCCAGACTTAAACTGATGCTTCCTGACACCCAGTTTTGTTCTCAAACACTAATTGTCTACATATATATCTGGGTAAATATAAGATAGCTATTCATTATCTAAAAGAGTGTTGATCTCTGGGGGTAACCATAAATTTTCTCTAGTTTTATATACATAGGTATCTACACATACATCTGCACATAGATGCACTAAAGAAAATTTATGGTAGATCGTTACCCCCAGAGACCAACACTTTTTTAGACAATGAATGATTATCTTAAAGCTTTTAGTAGCCATTAGTGAGATTTTCTTTTCCTTAAAGAATATTTTTAAGAGAAACAATTAAGCTTTGCATGATTTTCCTTCTTTAACCTAAGGCTTCCTGCCCTACATGATATAGACTTATCTGGAGGCTTGTCAATTACTTGTACCACCATAGAGTTCATGATAACAATAGCATCTAGAAGTTATTGAGCATTTATTGTGTTTCAGATACTGGTCTGAGTGTTCAAATGCCTTTAACTCTTCCAATAATCTCCCAATAACGTTGTGACGTTGGTGCTATTGTTGTTACTATTTTACAGATGGAGAAGCTGAACTGCAGAAAGGTTTGGTAACTGGCCTAAGCCCACACAACTTGTGGCAGGACTGGTTTGTGAGTTCAAGCTCTCCACCCTCAGAGTTCACCCTTCTGAACACAGAGCCATGCTTCTGACACACAGCCATGTGGAATGCACACGGACCTACAGAGAGAGTTTCTGTGTTTGTCTCTAGTCTGCGCATAACCAGCTCTGTACCTTCAGATTCCCTCTTCCTCTGTGAGTTTGCTTCCTCATTTCTTAAAGAAGAAATATAATCCTCATTTTATTTGTCTAACAGTGATAGATGAATCAGCACTTTGTACAAATTATTTCCAAAAAAATATACTAATGTAAGTTGTTTAAAAAAATAAATTGCAAAAAAATGAAATGCTTAATATTAGCTAAAATCCTTTTTTATGTAAAATCATCATGGTGAAAGTTCAGTCTTATAGAGACCCCGTCTTCTGGAAGAGCGTTCAGGTAGCCAAAGTCTTCGAGAAAGAAAGACTGATGTCCTTCTTTGGAAATACCTAAAGGATTGGGGCCAGAGAAGTGACTTGGAATCCCAGTTCTTCAACATACCAGATGTGGGACTTTCAGAGTGTAATTTATCTCCCTGGGCTCTAATTTTCCCAAATGTCAAAAAGGCTGTAGTTAGAATACAGTCACATCTTTCATTCATTTGCTTTTTGGAGTTTCTACTGTGCAGGTGAGTCCTGAGGACATGGGGACAAGCCCAGTAGAGACAATCTCTGCTCTCATGGAACTTGGTTTATCAGGGAGCATAGACATAGACGTTCAACAAATAATTAGAAGCAGTCACTGAAAAAAATTCTATGTAAAAAAATTCTAAGTTGCCTGGCATGAAATAAGCGTTTAGAGACAAAGAATTACTGTTTGGTGCAGGGCCAAAAATTCCACTCATCTGTTTCACAGAAGTTTCAGAGTTCTGAGCAGAAGACAACATTGTTTGGAGATTTGTGGAATCCACTCATTCCTGCTGCTGCAGTCTCACCCAGGCATGATGCTAGTGTCTCACAAAAAATGAGAAATTGGACCTGAAATATACCTTGGCATCCGTGCTCCACGTATTTTTCTTTTTTACGTTTTCATTTACTTCTTTTTTTATTAAATTTATTGGGGATGAAATTGATTCATAAAACTATACAGGTTTCAAGCATACAGCTCAACAAATCATCATGTGCACACTGCATTGTGCGCTCATCGCCCAAAGCAAAGTCTCTTTCCGTCCCCATTTATCCCCACTTTGCCCACATCTAGTTACCCCCACCCTCCTTTCCCTCTATCACCAAACTGTTGTCTGTATCTATGTGTCATATATATATGTTTTTTTGCTTAATCCCTTCACCTCCACATATTCTTGAGTCCTGAGACCTCACTCACATTTTTGTTTCTCTCCTGGCTGGGCTCTCCTGGGGCAAGCTCTCCGATGAGCAGTGGCTTAAGGTACAATTGCACAAGGTCAAGCTCAGGGTGCATGGCTCTGAAGACATCCTGTAAACCAGAGAGAATCATTAGAAGCTTAGATGAGATATTCTTATCCACAGATTATTCCCCTTGTTGACCTCGTTCTGTGTCCATCTTGGGAACCAGCATAGACTCTGATAAGAGAATTTGCTTCAAAATCCTAATTGATGCTTCAAGTTGATTGAGCAAAATTACCACTGGAAATCCTCAATGAAAGCTGGAGATGCACTCACTGAGTGCCTTGATTCACTAGGTAAATCCAATGCAGCCAGATTATCCCTGAGCACTGAAGAGATCTCTATTTATTTTACAGAGAACCAGAAGGAATAGTGCCTTAAGTTTATGGACCACGGCAAATCTTTAAAGTCCAACGTCATGCTTGGTGTGGAAGTTGCTTACACTACCTGAGTCATGCAGCAACCATGGCTGGCTGTGCAGATCAACGTTTCCCATCAAAGTCTGCCTCTGGGTTCTTAGCCAAGGACCAGGGGAATGAGACCCTTGAATTAAGTTATTTCCAAAACAAGCCAGGATAAAGTTGATGATGGTTGCTTAAGAGAAATGTAGAAGAGAGTATGGGAGCACAGACCTTGAATGCTGTGTTACCTGGAGTATCACACTTTTGACTATTTTTCACTTCTGAAAAAACACTAAGGCAGTGTCTGTAGGGGCTGATGACAGCCAGGCACAGAATAGAGTTGACCAAGTTTACTTTTCCATCTCAGGTCCCATGCTAAATAGAAATTCCAAGTGCTTATGAGGAGCGGCAGTGATTCCTACATCTTGCTTTTATTTGGAAAGGAAAGATACTCTCTTCCCTTGGGGATTTAAACAGTTTTGGCAGAAGGGAGATTTTCCAAGAAGAAGATGCTGGACTTCCTGCTATTATGGCTTTGGGGATGGGAGTGATTACAAAATGAAGAAATACAACCAAGGTTGTAACTCGGATACATGGACATCATGAACATTACTCTGAGTTCTGGTGTTGCATAGTAATGATTAAGTTGATTCCAGAGCAGCCTTCCTATATCTCAGTCCTGGCTTTGCCACTTAACTAGCTGTGTAATTGTACACAAGTCTCTTGACCTGGTGGTCCTCCTTTTCTTTTCTTCTCTAAGATGAAGGTGATGATAATAGCTATTCAGTTCATAACGTTATTATAAGGATTAAGTGAATAAATTAGAATCTGAGTCTCAATATATTTTAGCTATCTTTCTTATATGTATACTTCTAGTGAAAAGGACTTACTACCTACCGTCTCTGCAAAGCAAAAATTCAGAGATTTTATTCCTATACCCTAATGCCCAATGTTGTATCAGCTCTGAATTATTTTAATGAATATGATAAATTCTCTACCTTTAAGTAGTAAAGCAACTTAAGATATAGCCAAGAACTATGTATGAGCCTACTTAAAAGAAAGTGCTTATATAATGAATGAGGTTAATTGGAAAGGTGCAGTATCAACCCTTCGGACTTACTTCACCTAGATTCAATGATGTGAAAACAGATTTGCATCTACTAGCATCAGCCCATGCTCTACTGTTCATTTTACTTCCACACACCTCCTTGGACCCCCTTGGAAAATGCCAAACTATATAATTTCAAAGGTGTTTTTTAATCATCACATTTGACGATTCTGAAACTTAGTTTCCCTAGTCAGGAAGAGAGTCATTCAGTGATTAAGAAGGTGATTAAAGTACTTCATCCATACTGAAAAATCATGTTCTGCTTGTTTGGGAGTAAATTAGGATGGAAAGTGTTCTGATTGATCAAGATCAAGGGTAAAGGGAAGATAAGCTGTTACAATTTTGTCAGCCTGAACAGCCATCCAGAGTCTTGGAACAGTGTGCTGACAATGACATTCCTCTGGGCTCATTGTTTCTTCTGATCCTCAGCAAAGTTCACAGGTCAGTACTGTGATAACAGGTACTGAAGACCTACGCAGTGCTCCAGAGTAGTCGGCATTGCCCTGTTTTATGGGTATCTTTTCATTGTATTGGTGGGCAGTACAGTAAAAAAGTTTAGATAATCTTAAAATATTTGATTTAGAAGAATTTCCTATAAGAGGCTGAATAGTGAATTCTTTGTGAAATCCCCTCTTGCAGAAATGAGTTCTGTTATCAACATTCTTGGGCTAGTATGTTCCTGCTGAAGGAAGAAAAGGGGATAACATGAAGGGGAGAAGGGATACTGCCAACATTCACTGAGTGTATCCTACGTACAAGGTGACTTATGGGCGAATTTGTAATCTTCACTTTACTTCTGTGAGGTTCCATTGGTTCTGTTTCTCAGAGGGGAGAAATGTATTGTCCTGACTGCCGCAGTAAATAGTAGAGTCAGGATTTGAACTCAGGGTTGTATACTTTAAAGTCATGAAGCTCTAAAGGTCTAATCCAGCCTTAACATGCACAATTTTTTAAAAGGTCTCTCAAGAGAGGAACACCACCAGGTTGTTCGGGGATGGTGCTAATATCAGTATGTATCTGCTGAGAAGATAGTAGTGGTATCTTTCCACCTAAGGTTGTAATCATGTGAATCACTTAGCCTCTGGTTTCAACCTACCTCCCAAGGCTTGGCTTTCATCATACCCTTCACACACCACAATATTCACTGGATCCCTCCACATTCAATAAACTTTCCATGCTGCTTTACGGTGCTGAAGTTTTGCACATACTGTTGCCTTTGCCTTGATTGCTTTCCTCCATTTTCTCTATACAAAAGTTCTTCTTCACCCTTCAAGATCCAGATGAAATACTGCCTGCCCTAATCCATCCAAGAAAGTTATTCATGACCACCTCTGGGATTCCATGACACTTTGTTCCTAGAATTTTTCAAATTATCTTGTAAGGAATCTGCATTTTCACCCCTTCTCTATGGGATGGTCTTTGAGTTTTTTGAAGACTGGGACCATGCACTGTTGATTATATTACACATATCATCTATCAGTATGCCTGGAGTATGGCATGTGATCATGGATGCCTAGTGGACAAGGGAGAGGGTGCATGAGTAAATGAATATAGGGTTTTCCATCAGAATGTTGAGCTCAGAGGACACAGGTCTGAAGCACCATTGTCTCCTCCCTACCCTCAGCATCTTATTGTCTGACCTTTCTGCTTCTTTAGCTTCTCTCATTTTCATGTTACCCTATTGATTTTCTTCTCAGCCATCATCATCTCTACTCCTTAACCTATTTATAAATTTATAGCTTAGCTTAGCTTAAAATTGATTGTTTCCAAAACAATATCAACACAGGAAAAATATGATTTTCATAACTACCTTGGAAATCCTGATAATTCTTTTGCTGCTTTTTAATGGGAGATAAAGAGATGCATTTTACTGTAAAAGCAGTATGACTTTTAGTGGAAGTGAAAAGTAAGGCCTGAGACAAAATCCTGCCTTTCCAGCTTAAGTGCTAGATCCAGGTTGTACTCTGCACAAAGGCACCCAGCGAGGAGGGAATGTATAGGCTGAAATCCAGCAGATATTCTGCTTGCCAATGCTTCTGCTGCAATACCCAGAGACTGGGCCTTCCTCATTCACACTAAGGCACAGTGTAAGGTAGCAGGGGAGCAGGCTGTTTTATATTGGTCAAATTACTTAATTTATCAAGCTTTTTTTTCTTTCTAAATGTGTATAATAATACTACCTTGTCTGCCCCATGGGCTCATATATTCCTTTATTCATTTATTCAGTCATTCCAAAACCTATTGAGGATCTAGCCTAGTGGTTAATAGCTTAGTCTTTGGAATCAGACATCAATAAATGACTGCATTTTCACAATATTTAGTTCATCTGAGGTGGGTTGAAAATTTCCAAAATTCAGAAAAGAAAAAAAACCAATGGCAAATATATGTATGTGTCACAAAACAAAATAATAGAAGCTAAGAAAAGCTCACCAGAATATTCAACACCCATCCACCAACACCCATTCCCATCTTTTTTGGGTGATTTCTCCGCTGCTTACACTTCTCACTCAGATCTCATCTGCTCCAAAGCAATGGCAGGAACATGTCAACTCATATTTTGAATAGGCCAACTTACAGGGAGAATGAAGTTTTTTTTCCCTTTCCTGGGAGAGAGCCACTTTGGAGCAGAGAACATTACATGAAGTCATACAGGTTCCTCTTCACCCTCAGGGATAAGCAGAGGGTTATTTTTTCACTGCAACTCTATTATTTGAGAACTTCCATTATTTGAAAGCTCTTTCTTATATTGAGATTTGTTCTATGATACTTTCTGCTGACATCCAGCCCAAACTCTCTCTCTCTCTCTCTCTCTCTCTCTCGCTCCTCTTCCTACTAAATCTACTCATCCTTCTGGTTCCCCTGTCCCATAATGGATATCACCACCTACTTATTTAAAACAGATTCCATACATAAGTTTACGCTCCTTCATGCTGTGTACTTATCTAACCACTCATCAATTCTAGATATCCATAGCACTCATTCCCTCTTTTTTATTCCTATTGTCAATGCATTGTTCAAATCTCCAAGATGTTACCTGGACTTCTTCCTTCTTTTTGATCAAGTTTTCTCAATTTCCTCCTTCACATAACTGCTGGGCTGGTAGTTTTCACCCATTTCACTAATTATCACTTCGCCACTTCTCTCTCCACTCCTTTACCCACTGTTTAAACATGAACTGGATTATTTAAGACATTTTGACAACCATAGAGGATGCAATTATTACTGATTATTACTCTCCTTTCACCAACAGCCTTAAGACCGTTCTTGATTTTGTTGTCACGGTTGCAGGTTGGCAGGGATTCTGTGCTAGAGAAGTGTCATTATGTGTAGTGGAAGGAGAGGAAGACATACAGTGAGGGCTAAATTCAGAGTCCCTAGCTCAGCATCAAGACCATTTCTCTGACTCCTTCTCTTATCTCTTCCTCTGCCTCTTCCCTTCATGATCTTTTCTTCCTGCTTCTCCTCTTCTCATTGACATTCCATGACAGTCACTGACATTATTGTGCTAAGACAAAGGATGGGTGGGATGCCATGTTGGCTGGGCCCTTAATCATGACCTGAGTCATGTCTGTACTCCTCCCTGGTGCACATCCTCTTTCCCATGCCCTGGTCTCACCTCAGTTGGTCCTGCTCTCCCCAAGCCACTGGAAGCACTTTCCTCTTCCAGACTGCGGTCCTCAAAGAGTTGAAATGGATGTAGCTGTATTTCCTTGAAGTTTTTGTCATCTCTTCCCTGTCATCGATCCTTTGACTCTCATGAGAAAGAACTTGAGCTCCTCAATGTCCCTCTGAGAATGAGGTGTCCAGAGAGGAGGAGTGGGATGACAAGCACACAGGATGATGCACCTGCTTTCTTTGTTCTGGGCACATCATACATGTGCATGCATCACAAGATTGCACAGATTTCTTTTGTGGAGCCTGAAACTCACTGTTGTCTTAAAACTTGTGGCTACTTATTCATATGTATTTCCTGTTATCATATGCTTTGTAATCCTCATCTTCATGGTTGCAAAATAACCCAACAGATGGATAAATTGTGATCTATATAATTAATTCTTCTTGGACTTACAGGTTATGTTTGGCTTTTCCCAGAAGAGCATTTCCAGGTGAGAAGACATGTGTGTGGATTCTACTTACCAGCACTGTGCCATTAGTTTTAAATCATAGTTTGAAAACAATCAGGTAGCTGAAATGTGCAGTAATAGAAGCTGATGTGCCAATTTTGTACTATGGACTTATTTTTCTTAGTAAAAATGTTTTGAGATGTTTATAACCCATCTCAGAAGAACTAAGTGAAAAAACCCAAGAGCTGCCATTTGAGTATTGAATCTGTGCCATGTACCACAGGGAACATTTTACTTCATCTCAACTGACTTTTGCAACAATGCTAATGTGAAAGTATTGTTATCCCCACTTTCTAGATAAGGGAGCTAGGCTCCAAGAGCTTCAGCAACCTCCTCAGGACATTCCAAGTAAGTGATGGAATCCAAAAGCGAACCAGACTTGGTTTGTCCTAAAACCTGTACTCTGAATCACTAGGTTGAGCCACTAAGAAGGGTTTTGGAAAGACTGACTAAAAGAATGAATGAATGAGTGAATGAATGAATGAATGAGCCTGTGGGAAAGACTACTTAGGTATCCTTATTCACCTTTTATGAGGAAGATGGAGGCTTGGAAATGAGTCACTGTGTAAATAATAAAAAAGTGCCCTTTCTGGACAGGTGTAGCCATTGGACAGGGACCTCACAAGGAGACCATATATGGGTTCATATTTTCCTTTCAGAGCATAATTTACAAAGACCTCTTAAGCTGTAGAGTATTGGATATCAAGTCATCAGACTTTATGTTCTTCCCTCCTTCCCTAGAGAGCATGGTGCCCTCCACTTTGTACCCTCTGTTCTAAATCAGATGGCACCAAATATAATCAGGATTTCTAAGCTGATAGTAAACAGGAGGTAGTAATCACATCTTTGAGGTTTTATCAGAGACATGGATAGGAATAGCTACAACTGAATGAAAATTTATTAAAGTGTCTGGCATTACCCTAAGCACTTTATGAGCACCATAAACAAGTTAGAAGGGTAATGTCATTCTTATTTTGCAGATGGTAAAGCGGAGGGTCAGAGCACTCCAATAGCTTTTCCAGGTTCATATAATGATCCCAAAGTCTAGGCTTTCTGTATTCTGAGTAGGCACGGAGGATTATAGTTGTCAGAATTTTCCTGGCACCCTCCTAGTCTTCTTGAGCCATCTTTCTTTGGAAATCTTTTCTCTGGAAACTTCTGGATTTACTTTTCTAATATCTAAGGTACATGACTGACTGACCATGCTCAGGATTTTCATTCTCAGGATATGAATCCCAAGGTGGCATGAATATTTTCCCCAAGTGCTCTGATGATTTCTATTTTATTAATCAATTCCCCCTCACTGGTTAGAATTGGATGCAGAATAATGGTCTTTTCCTGATTTGTGGGAGGTAAAAAAGTCATCAGCAAATTACAGATTTATCACCCAAGCTGCCTCAAGCTTAGAGTCTATCTGTGATTTTCAGGGTGGCTGAGACCTACATCTTTTCCAACACATCTTTTGAGCTAAATTCTACAACTTGTGTTAGAAAAGCATTGTCCACATTCTGAATTGTGGCAATGAGGGAATGGGCTAGATAAGGATCTGTCATATTTATTTTATTTTATTTTCAGTTACCCATTCTTCTGTTATTCTTGCACACATGCTTTCTACGTCATTTCTTCTACCCTCATCTCTCTGTGTTCTTACCCAGCATCCATCTTCTCAACGCCAGGACACTTCCACCCATTTCTAAAAGCACATGCTCATTTTCTCAGGAAAAGGTTGACCTTTGTTTTAAAAAAATCAGGTCTGATGGAAGTGGTAGGAAAGTAGCAAGGTATGTTCAGAAAGGTATTCCCCTCACTGCAGAATCACAGTAAGACGATATTATAAGAAGAACCTGGTTGGAGAAGAGAGATGAGAAACTGGGGAAAAATCAGAATTGAGGGAAAAAAGATGCTGATAGTGTCAAAAATAAAATCTTTGTTCCTCTTCAAATTTACCATGCACTTGCATATTATCTTATTATTAGCACCATTTATAGAGTGATTCTTAAACAATGTGTTCAATTCTATACTTTGAAACCAGTTGGAGAATTTGTACACTAACTTGTGGAACAACAAGACAACAAAGTAAGAAGACAAAAAAGCCTGGGTTGCATTTTCTGCTCCATATATTAATTTTTTGATTTGGGTTATTTAGACATTTTTACTATCATTTCTTCATCTCTATAATATGGAAAACAACATTCATAATTGGCATAAAACAAACTTCCTTTTAGAATATTAAAAAAGGTCTTCTTAAATGATTTAATGGTTTGAGAGACCTCCCTATTAGATATTAAATGGAACCTTTATTTGTAAGAGCTCAGTTACAAAGGGCTTTATGGTCAAAATCCTACCTGATTTCAAAATTTGACACTATTACTTGCTGGCTGTGTGTATTATTTTCCTTTTTGAACACTTTCTCATCTGTAATATGAAGACATATCCGCCTTCTTCATGGAGAGGTTTAAGTGAAGTGATGCATTTGAATGTGTCTAAGGTATTGTAGACATCCATTAAATGTCACAGTATTTTTTTCCTTTGTTGTTTTGGTGGGGAAGGGTGATGAGGAGAAGCAGTGAAGAAAAAGAGAAAACCTGGAAGTTAAAAAATATAAAGGTTTTGAATCTGCGCTCTGCTGTCGGGGGACTTTGGCCATCAGTTATGCTCTCTGATTCTAATTTCTTCTTCGGTAAAAGTGGGTTGTCTTACCTGTGCGACTCTGAAAGAGCTGCAAGCAAAGAAAAGGGCCCTGCAAAGCTGGAAAGCCTTTGCCATCCAAGGTTTTCATCACTGCTATTAACATTTGAATGCCTAACAGATGACTCATGGGCTTGAGCACGTACTTGACAAGCTTTTTGAAAGAGAGCCAAGGTCCCAGCCACCCAGCAGCCGCAACAGAGGGAGGGCAGAGCTTTCTGCTCCTTACCGTGGCGTCTTCCCCAGCATAGTGGTTGAGGACCCGGCGCCCACCTGGATGACGGTCCGCCCAGCCAGTGACATTGTAGACCTTGCGGTTGATCACTAGCCACTGGTCGGCCTCCTGATTGTGTCTCTGGATCTCCTGCCAGCTGTACAAGTTGAGACTCCTTCTGGACATGTCATCCTTCCCATCTGTCACTGGCTTTATGAAGCCTTCTGCTTTCCCATTTGCTGCTGGTTTGTGGTTTGCCTGATGCTGCTCCCCTAGGTAGAGCTGGCTCTTTCCTACGAGGCTCCCATTGCCCGCATGTTTTTCGTCAATCTTCATCGTCACTGAACCCCTGAGATTTCTGGGTTGACTCCTGAAACTTCTAATCCTCACCTCTGACTGGACCATAAACTAACCCTTCTCCCCCTTTTATTCCATTGTAATAGGATGCCTGCACAGGATACTTCTTTTTAGCCAAATTATCTCTCTCTTCACAAACCTGATGGTGAGCACATCCCCAGCCCCTCACTGCTGTCTGTCTTGAATCTTTTCTGCACTGATGGGGGCTGGACCACTTTTATCTCTTCACTTCTCCTCTCTCTGCAGCTGGACTCTTAGCAGCATCCTTCATCACTGAGTCCCTAAATAAAGAGCTGTGGCCAATCTCAGTCCTGCACAATGTCATGGCCCGCCTCCAGGGAGGATGGACTAGGCTCTGCCAGGTAACTTTCCTGCTCTGCATCAAGGTGGGTTGGGTTCCTACCTATCTGACGTGCCTGTGAATGGAGACATTCAGATTTGTTAATTGAACATGTGAGCAGGAGCTTTCAAAATCTCCAGGATGACACGAATGCTTGGTAGACTTGGGAAATATTCTTTTTGACAGCGGTTATTTCTCCCTAGGGCTTTGAAACTTTTAAAAAAAGACTTTCTCTCTCTCTCTCTTTTCTTTTTTTTAAAAAAAGGTTTATAATTACCAAAAAAAGTGTTCAGTAGTAAACTAGTCTTTCTCTTAAGCTGGCTAAATCTGTCAACACACCTGAATGTAACAGCGACTGACGTTTGCCAGGACACATGATGATTTTCAAAGCCCAGGTTTAATCCTCATGTTAATCTTAAGGGACGTACTGTTAGTGTCCCATTTTCCGGGTGAGAAAACATTGGCTGAAGACCTCAGGTAAGGTGAGCCGCAGAGTGAGAAGTAAAGCCAGATTTTTTGATTCCAAGTTCTCAACTCTTTTCACTTGGTTCTCTGAACCTGAGGTCTAGACATATGTAATAATAACTTGACCCAGCGGTTTGGAAATGAGACAGGAAAAGAGATTACAGTAGTGGTGGTGGGGATATTAATGTTAAAAAAAGGGGCATGAAATAGTAGGAAAATGCCCATTCTCACATTTAGAAATAAGTCCTAAGTGGATCATCAGAATGTCCAAGATTTATGTCGTCAGGGTTTTATTCCAGTATGATTTATAAATGTTAAAAATTAGAAATGACCTAAATGTCCAACAATAAAGAACACTGATTTTTTAAATAATAAAATTGATTTTATTTCTATTTTTTGTTATAACAGATAAAGCTGGTCCTATGTCTGCCATCACTGTATTATGATTTCCATATTTTTTCTTTTTTCCCCTTTTTTAAAATTAATTAATTTATTTTTCCAAATACATTTGTCTCCGCCTTCCCCCCACCACTTTCCCCTGCCCCCCTTCCCCCTTTCCCTCCCTCAATCCTTCCCCACTTTGGCTTTGTCCATGAGTCCTTGCTTTAAGTTCCTCAACTTGCCCCTTCCCTTCCTTTTCCCTTGCCCACCCCTCCCTTCTTCCCTCTTGTCTCTGATGGTTTCTTTTTCTTTCAGTGTTGCTGGTCTTATTTTCCTTGCACCTTTGTTTTGTTGGTTAGGTTCCGCTTATAGGTGAGATCATATGGTATTTGTCTTTCACTCCCTGGCTTATATCACTTAGCATAATGCTCTCTAGTTCCATCCATACTGTCATGAAGGGTAGTAGTTCTTTTTTTCTTTCTGCTGCATAGTATTCCATTGTGTAAATATACCATAATTTTTGATCCAATCATCTACTGATTTTTTATGGATATATTGAATATTATATCAATATTAAAAATAAGTTTTCCATACACATTTTAAGGGCATGGACTGATATTTGCAATATAACAAGTAAAAAATTAGTCAATAATATTCTGTTTGGAAGGGAAAATGCTAAAATATTGGCATTAATTCTCACTGTTATTAAAGATTTTTTTCTTCTTAAGTCTGTATGGTCTTTCTCAAATTACCTACAAATAAATACATGTTACTTTTATAATATAGCAGGTTTTGGTTTTTAAAATAATGAATCAACAAAGAAAATGCATGTTGGAGCTAGATGGGTCTCGGGCCATATTTGAGTTCTACCGTTTATTAGCTATACATCACGCAAATTACCTTTGTTCTTTGGGCTTTTAATTTGTCATCTGTGGAATGAAAAAAATAAACACAATTCTCAAAATTACATTAAATTAACATAAATGTTATGGTATTTACAGAAACCCTCAGTAGTGTTGATCATTTCTGTGTGGGAGTTTTACAAATCCAACATATATACCTTTGGCATTTGAAAGTTATATATGTAAATTCAGGATAGCTCTGGAGTTTTAGTATAAGTGAGGTTAGAAGACAACAATCTAGTTGGAAGTTTGTGGGGGGCAGGTAAGGGGGTTGCCCAGGGGAGTTGTGCCTGCTTGGATATCAAATAGACTTATAAAGATAGCTACTCACTTCTTTAAAACATTTGTACTTGTTTTGTTTTGGAGGCCAGGGGGCTCTTTACAATCCTGGAAATAACATAAATTTTGGAGCCAGAAATATCTAAGCTGAATATTATTGCACAAGATTCTTATTGTGCCTCAGTTTTCTTATTCTATAAAATGGGGCGAACAGAAACTACACTCATAAATTTCCAAAGGATATTAAATTCTATTATATGTGGGTAGAGGTTAGCATAGTATGTAATACCTGGAGGTGTGCAACAGATATGACAGCTGTTACTATTGTTATTGCACATATTTCTAGTTTTGTTTTGGTATATAGTCACCTGTGTCTGTTAGTTATTTTCTCAGGTCCCTGGGCTCACTTTGTTTTATTGGTAGTAAAAGAAATGTTGTTATTAAAACAACCTTCATTATTAAAACCCAGGTGGAGAGACCAGAGGTATTTGACTATGGAAGGTGAAGCTCTTGATTTCAACTTTTGTCTACCCACAAAACAAAGAAGACACATCTGGGACTTTTAAGGCTAGGAGCTCTGTTCTTTTTCAAGAGAAACTGACTTCCCATAATTTTCTCGTTTTACTCGGTTCTATGGAAGAAAGAAAGAGACAGGGCAGGGGGAGAGAGAAAATGGTAGAAGTGGAAAAATGTGAATGAAACTGTAGCCTGGTGCAGAGGGTTAGGACGTAGAAGAAAGTTTATGTAATTACCTAAATATTTGCTAAGCTTCTTTGGTTGTTTCCCAAAGATGCTTGTCTGAGATGTTTTTCTTCAAGGCCAGAAGGTAAGGTTAAGAAAAGCTGCTAGAAACCTCTGGAGACCAGCTGAAATGGACCAGAGACCACTTTGATGGTTTTGGTGTAAATTTTCTTCATTATCCTCATTATAATATGAAAATCTCCACCCAAGGCAGGGTATACTTGCCATTTTCTATACATGTGATGTATGTCTAGTAATGCCCACTTACTGCGCATGCTCACCCTAGACATACCTAACATGCTAAGATGTAAGCAACAGCCTTATAATACCAGGTGGTCTTTTGTCCTTAGGGAGACACTGCTCAGGGAATGACCCCCCATGTATCCTTTACTTGCTGGTTAGCAATAAAGTTCCTCAGAATATTCTTTTGGCTGACACTGACCAAGTGGCTGGGCTCCATTCCAGTTGGCAAAAAAATGCAACAGAAAAGAGGGAGCAGATAAAAAAGAAAGTGGTATGGAGTAGAGAAAGGAAATCCCTCTTATAGTGGTAAAAAGAGACCAGGTGACCATGAAGCTCACCCCAGCTTGGTCCACAACTAACTGCTTGCCTTGCCCCTTTGCTGGGATGCAGTTTCCTCATATGTAACATGGGAAGTTGAAATTGACAGGGCTCCAACAATGCTTTAAGTTTAATAGTCTATGAAAAGATGAGAGAAACATTCCTGACCTCATTTTATAGGGGAGTGTGACAACTGGCTTTTGTGTAGGTTGTGTGTAAATAGCTCTAGAGTGTCAGTGGTCAATAGGCATGAGCATGCCCTCCCCAGAGGGACCTCCAGTGGTTTTGGGGACAGCTTAGAACTAGTTCCTATACTGGCCTTGACACAGATGGAGAGCACACAAGCTCTTGTTTGTTGAGGGCCAGAATCTCAAGAAATTAGGTGACTGGGCATGACTTTGTCTCCCCTTTCTTATGCACAGCTTAGAAAGTTTTGGTACTGGAAGGTCTCCTAGCAAAAGTCCTTAGCACACTTGTCTCTCAATACGCATTCCTTTTTGAAATGGATGCAAGTCCATCAGAATCTGAGTATGTGTTGGCTGTGTGGAGATGGTCCCCACATTTGGAAGGACACATCCCAGCTTCATGGAGAGCTGATCCCTTCTCAGAAACTCATCTTCCTGATCATGTTCTAACTCTTCCTTGGGGAAATGAGGTAAATGAGATGAGATGCCTCATCTCAGAGGTAATGCTGAAGAGCATTCTGATTACAAAAATGATTTCCTGAGGATACGGTTCTGGAATATCAGTCCTACATGGGGCTTTTTGAAAAGCTGGCATCATTTACCAGTGGAAGTGAGTCATTCATTTATTTGCAAATCAATCCAAGCCTGTGTTGAGTAACTTCCAGAGGGCTGGCATTGTTCTCCAGGAATTTATTGGCTTTTCAAAAACAAAGTGAATGTTTTAACCTCATTTCTCCATAGGAAGACAGAGTAGGGGTTACTGTGACTTGAATATATGTATTCAGTTCTCAGGAGATTCAAGGCAGCATCCCTGGGCCAGACAGTTTAGACCAAAGGCAGGGTCTTCAGAATCCCAGCACCTCCACCTTTCAGCCTGAAGCTTGTTAGATATCATAATAGTTTCTCTTGACATTAAGGACCTTCTTCCCTTTACATAATTTATTGAAGGTTTGTAATGAATTTATTATTTTCTAGTTGTCATACTAAATAATCTGGAGATGAGATATGAATAAAGCTTCCTTTTCTCTGGAGAGATGCTTAAAAAAAACCCCCACCAAATATACAAAGTGTACCCCCTTACCCTGCCCCAAGCATTTAGTTTCTTTTAGAGAGTCAGACTTCCAGAGTTCA